AAATCTGGGCTCGTTTCATTTTTTTAGAGTTGGCTGTCATGGGGGTCAAGGGGGGTATAAATTATTTTTTAAGAGGCTAAGAGGGGTTAAAGAAAGGTTCTTTAGTGTAATTTTTTTTTTTTTAAATCTTCGATTCGATGACGAATTATGATGTGACCCTCAAACAAAAGTTGTTTGTATTGCGTTAGGGCTGCCTGGGGGTCATGCCCGACCGGGCACCCGGGCATGCATTCGGGCACAAGTTGAGTGTCCGTGCGCCCGAAAGAACAACGTAGGTTTGAACCGTAATTTTATTTTTGTAATATCAATGCAATTTAATTTTTTATTTGTTGTAGTTGCTCACTAAGAATTTTGTTTTACAAGCGATCGGTTCATGTAACTGTGGGTGAATCCTATACTTACTAAGGATTTAACTTTCTCACCGTCGACCAGACCTCACCTTTAGTACTATCCCGTTTTGTTACCGAAGTGTATATAACATTAAACGATTTTTTTATTTCTAAATGAAATAAATAAGATTTTAAATGCAAAGAAAAATGTAATTTAATGATAAATTAAAAGTTAGCAGTCATAGCCACTATGATATGTGAGGTTGAGAAAGGTATATCAATGCTATTTTGTAAGACTGGCTTTTAAATTGACCCTAACTTTTCAAAACGAAATGGTTATAGACAACGAAAAATGTTTCTAGAATTAAATAATCATTCATAGTAAAATTACAATCTAAATTTTAAATTTTCATTCCATCTTAAAAAATGTCATTCCAATTTTAAAATTTTTCATCTTACTTGAAAACTTTCATTCCAAAAATAGGGTATCCCTTCTTATTTGGGATGCATGCTAGAGATGGAATGAAAGTTTGGATGAGTTCATGAAATATTTTAATTAGACCGTCATTTTAAGTAAGGATTTTCAGTCATAAATAGGTTAATCCAATCTAAATTAGAAGATATTTGTTGTAGTAGAATAAAAATTTAATTAAAACATTTCATAAACTCGTCCTGACTTTCATTCCATCTTAAACAGATAGATATAGTTGGAAGGGAAAACTCATATTTAGACGAAAATTTATCAAATAAAACTGAAAATTTTATAATTGGACGAACATTGGAATGATAATTTATAAATATGAAGGACTTTTTTTTTTAGAATGTTTTTTCAACTTTCATTTCTCGTGGGAATTTTTCTGTTGGACCAATAAGATAATGACATAAAAGGGCAACAAAATGTCAATTTTGAGGTTATGATTTTTTTGTTTTGTTTTGTTTTTCTATATTTTTATACGGCATAGTTGAAAACTACTATACGTTCTTGTTTTTTTTTTTTTTTTAACTATTGGTAAAGGAGGTGTGAAATAAAAAACATTGCAAAATTGGAAACTTATTTTTTTTTGCATCTTTGCAACACCACCTTTGCACTCTGTAGGTTAAACATAAATGCGACTTTTATATGCACTAACAAAAACATTATTAGACCCGTAATGTAATGGTGGTTTGAGGTGGAGTTGTATTGAGTATTGATTATCTTAAGGCAATCATTTTGTGTTCTTAAACCATCAATACATGACCCCGATCAAACTAAGAATCATAATTGAGCCATTCGAAAAACTTGGCGGCTCCAGGCAACTAGACCAGAATGGTTGGCGATGTCAGACAAAAGTAAAATAAAAATGGCGCACGAACGTTTCGACAAAGCTTAGTTCGCAATGAGAATTATCCTTGTGCAAAACAGACTCGAATATACTTGCGGTTTAAACCATCGGTACTTCCCACAGCTGCACGTGCATACGTGTCAAAAACTTATTGGATTAAACCACCACTCCCCACGATGTTCAAAATTCGGGGGGGACCGGTAGGCTGAATTTTGCAATCGGTTGTTGGCCTACCGGTAGTACTGTGTAGGGCACATTTGGTTGTTTCATTTTGTTTTTATTTTATTTTTTGTTATTTTAATTTTATGTGTGTGTTTTTTTTTTTTTTTTTTTTTTTTTTTTTTTTTTTTTTTTTTTTTTTTTTTTTTTTTTTTTTTTTTTTTTTTTTTTTTTTTTTTTTTTTTTTTTTTTTTTTTTTTTTTTTTTTTCCGGTCGTAACCGTCGTACATTCGTTTCCCCTTTTATGACCTGAGATCCCGCGATGCCACGACATTTCCAGTCTCACTCCACAACTCTCCACATGCTAAAAAAACACAAATCATGGTCATTTTTTCATGTTCTACATGTAGATTCACTCTCTGGCTGCACAATCCAGAGTAGTGGAGCGAGGTCCTTCCTCTTTTGAACCCTAAATTATTTTTTTTCTTTTCTTTTCCTTCGCAAAACAAAAACAAAAAAAATATATTGTGGGCGCCACAGTGTTTCGGGCGTCGACATGCACAGTAGACACAAATCATGGCGGTGTATCTTTCCATGTTCTAGCTGAAGATTCACTCTCATTTTGCATATGTCTAAAGTCGGCCGCCATATGATTCACTCTCGTTTTGGACACGTGGGATTTGTGGAGTGAGGCCCTCACCGTTTCACCGTTGTACCCCGTCAATGTTGCAGTCACCTAGGTAGGCTGAGTTTTAAATTGAAATCGCGAACTTCCCCCCCCCCCCCCCCCAATTTTTTTCCCCCCTTGTCAAAGTGGTCGCCGACCCCCCTCCATTTCTGGCCCCAACTCATCGGAAAGTCGACTTTAGGTTGTCGGGGGGAGTGGTGGTTTAACGAGCCTCTGATGCTGGGATAAATTAATTCAAGTGGAAATGTCGCGACAATGTAGCAATGACTGACTACATGCATGCTACAACTTTGTGCTTAGTTTATATCCCGCCTACAAATGACACTTCAAAACTCGTTTGGGAGTTGTGTTGAGTAAAGGAGGTGTGAAACAAAAAACAATGCAAAATTGTGCACTGATTTTTTTTTTCACCTTTTCAACACCACCTTTGCACCCTGTAGGTTAAACATAAATGCGACTTTTGTATGCACCAACAAAAACATCATGAGGCCTGCAATGTAATGGTGGTTTAAGGTGGGGTCGTATTGAGTATTGATTATCTTAAAGCAATCATTTTGTGTTCTTAAACCACCAATACAGGACCCCAATTAAGCTAAGAATCATAATTCAACCATTTGAAAAACTCAACGGGTCGGGGCAACCAAACCAGAATGGTTGGCGATGTCATACAACAGTGAAACAAAAATGCCACACGGACATTTTGACAAAGATTGACATGAAGTGAGAATCCTCCTTGTGCAAAAGAGACACGAATGTACTGGCGGTTTAAACCACCAGTACTTCCTATAGTTGCGTGTGCATACGTGTCATGACCTACTGGATTAACGAGCTTTGGATGCTGGGATAAATTAATTCAAATGGAAAAGTCGCGACAATGTAGCAATAACTGACTGCATGCACACTACAACTTTGTGCTTAGTTTGTATCCCGCCTCCAAAAAACAAATGACACTTCAAAACTCATTTGGGAAATGTTGACTATGACTATTTTCGGAAGTGTTGATAAACTAGATAAACTAAGGGACAATTGTTGTATGATGCTTTTTTAGAGGTGATAATTATTTAACCTTGTATGTAATTTCGATTCACATTGGATTTTACCGTCTTCATTTGACATTCGATGTTCGATATGAGGTGTTTAGTGACACCCATTAGAAATGGGCGGAGAAAAAAAACTCGAAGAGACGGATGCAGTGCCTTACTACTACTACCAACATAGGCATGACTATTGACAACACAATTGTAGTTTTGCCCAACTATGGCAGCTACCTCTCCTACATAGTCTATTCTTTGCAAGGAAAGCATCTTCAATCCTTTATTCATTCCACCTACCAGTTGGCTGGGCTAATTTAGGTCCTCGTTCCACGCCACTTCACTTCACTTGAAACTCGAGTGCGCAGTCGAGTTCCAATTGTGATTAAAAAATACATGAGTCATGTTTCGTTGCACTCAACCCTCAAGTCCGCCCTTTAAATGAGCGGGAATGATGTTGCAACATCTCGCCAGAGGTTCAACCGCGGTAGAAAAATGAGGAAAAAAAACAAACAAACTACGGGGTGTTCTATATGTACCTGCAGCGCCGTTTTCATGTGCAACTCAAGTGTGCTCCCATGAGGTGACTTGAAAAATGGGTAGGTTTGCCTGGGCCGGACTTGAGCCGCCCTATTGCTTTTCTTGCCCGTTTGCTAAACCTGAAAACCTAATCACGGCAGGGCTGTGATTAGCAAAACTTAGGGGCACCGTGAAACGGCGTTGGGCCCTAAGAAACCCTTGAGTTTCGAGTGGTGTGGAACGAGGCCCTTAGTCTAGCACAATACGAATTGGACTGTGAAACGGTGGGTTCCTTCTCCAAAGGGAGGAGAAGGAACCCACCCACCTCCCCAGGTCATTTGCCCCCGACTGATGATTGAGTAGGGAGTAGGTTTATGTTTCGTGACTTTTCCGCCCGGCATGGTAAAGAAAAGACGAGGGTACTGCCTTACTACTACTACCAACATAGGCATCACTATCGATAGCACAGTCATAGTTGTGCCCAGCCATAGCCATCGGCTATGGCTGCTACCTCTCCTACCTACTCTATTCTCTGCCAGTAAAGCATCATCAGTCCTTTATTCATTCCACCAACCAATTGGCCGGGCTAATTTAGTTTAGCACAATACAAATTGGACTCTGAAACGGTGGGTTCCTTCTCCTAAGCCCCCCTTAGGAGAAGGAACCACCCACCTGCAAGGGGAGGAGGTACCCTGACTCAGGGCATTTGTCCCCGACGGATCATCGAGTAGGCAGTAGGTTTTCGTTTTGTGACTTTTCAGCCTGGCACGGTAAAGAACGACCAGGGTACCTCCTTTTCGCGCCCCGCGACCCTGCCAGTCGTAGACGTAGATCCATCGGGCGATCCCCTACGTAGAAAAAATCGACGCCCCAGAAAAACGTTGTGTTTTCGCGTTCGGACTGGTGACTACAGAAGTCGAGCGTATTGTACTTGAACGGCCTCTGATTCTAGGGCTGCCCTCTTTGCACTGGTCGTGTCCGCCATAGTCTGTGTGTGTCGTGAGGTCGTCGTGTTGGTCTGTGCTTGACAGAGCAGTCATCATGCCGGCGGCGGCGACGAAGAAGGCGCCCGCGGGGCCCAAGGGCCCCAAGAAGAAGACGGTGACTTTCACCATTGATTGCACCAAGCCTGTCGAAGATGCGATCATGGAGATTGCCTCGTTTGAGAAATACCTAGAGGATAGAATAAAGGTTGGCGGGAAGACTGGAGTTCTGGGCAATCAAATCATCATCTCGCGGGAGAAGTCGAAGATCAACGTCACTTCGGAGAGCTTGATGTCCAAGAGGTATTTTTTTTCTTCTTTGCTCTCTCAAACTTCTCCTCTCCTCTCTCAAAGTGTGAGCCCTCTTCTTCGTCGCTTTTCGTTTTCGTCTGTCAGAGATTTTGAACTCTGTTCTGTCGTCCTCTCTTCCTAGACGTTCGATGACGAAAAAATGTTTTCCCGTTTTACGTTCCCCCTACCCGAACAGAAGCGAGGACGAAGTCTGCCTGGCGGAATGTCGGTGCCTTTTTGTTTTTTTCTTCTTTCTAGCGTCGACGTTTTTCCATGTGGTTTTCTTTCTCTTGCTAACAACCAAGATTTGGCATGGTGTGGTGTACGTATCAGCCTTTTTTTTTGCTCGTTATTTGCATGAGCATTACCTTTCAAACGAAGAAGTCGGCGACGTCGGTATGAAGATTATGAGTTGGCATGGTGCATGGTGTGGTCTCTGTATCAGTATTTGCGTTGCGTGTTTGTGGTTATCTGCGCCTTCACAGGTGGTCTACTCATGTTTGACATGCGTATTAGGGTAATGAGCATGAAAATCATTAGGGTTCGACCCAAAACGTGCGAGTTCGTTGAATGACCTTGGAAGGCCTTTCTAGCCGACGGTAGTTGTTGGTGCACTTCTAGCGGATGGTTCCTTGCTTCTAGTGGATGACTCTCACTTCAAGGGCGGTGAGCGCTCGGTGCGCGAAAGCCGAGGGGAGAGAAGCGGAGAGAGCTCTTTATCACGGCGAGGAGGGGGGATAGGTGAGCGTGGGGGCAGTGGGGGTTGTGAGGGTGGACGACGTTGCTGGCATCGGACGAGGACAGGGAGAGTACAAAGGGAGGGGTAGAGAAGGCGGATAAGTGAGGGAGAGGGTAGTCGAGAGCGTGGGAGTGGATAAAGTGGATGAGTGGGTGGATTGGGGTGCAGTTTGTGGATGCACATAGTGGATGACGGCGCGGTCGTCCCTCATTTGGCATATCGGGATCGGGATCTCGTGTATGATTGATCCGTATCAGGGAGTTCACAAATCATGGCTCACTGTGGTGGTCAGTGTCTTCTACTGGCCCCTTTTCTATCATGTCTTCTGTGTTCCAAGCTTGCAGAGTCTATCGTCTTCTGGTGTAGTGTTCTATTCTTCTCGTGTCCTTGCGTGATGCCTTTCCCTACCTGTTGTCAGAACTCAATACCGCCGACCTTGTGCATTCGCGATTGCTGCCGTCGTCGGTAAGGCACGGCTTCATTGGAAAATTACTATGGCGGTAGGTGTCTCAACTTCGGCATCATGCTCCTTCGGGAAGGTTAGCCCTCGCTGTCTGCTTCCCCCTCTTCATTGTCCTCTCTTTCTCTCTCGTCTCCTCTCCGCGTGTTTCTATTCCGAGGCTTCTCTCTCTTCTTCCTTCTGTCCTCCTAAGTTTCACATCTTTCTACCCTCCCTACCTTTTCCCCTCCCTTCCTGTTACTCCTTTTCATCATTTTCCTCTCCGCATCGCATCCTTGGCTTCCGTCCTCTCAAATTCCCTCCCTTCCCTCTCCAGTCGCTCTTCTCGCTTCTGTTTCCCTCTTTCTAGTCCCGCTGCCTCCCATTTTCCCTCTATGCCCCGCCTCTCTTTCTTCTCCCTTCCCCTCCCGACTCCCCTCTCTCGTGCCGTTTTACGCCTCCTATTCTCCTTGCGCTCCTGGCTTCGTTTCATCTTCTCGGCTCCTCGTCCTTCTCGTTCTCACCCTTTGCTCCTCTACCCCTCTGCTTCTCTCCTGTGCTTCTCTTCCCTGCTCTCCTCTACACCGTTCCTTCTCTCGTTCTTGTTTTTCGTCTTTTCCCTGTCATCTCTCGTTCTTTTTTCCTTTGTCCTCTCGTTCATTTCTTCCTCTCCACATAGTCCTGTATCTCTCCTCTCCTCTAGCTCTCTTCACTAGCTCTCCTCAAGCTGCCTCTAGCTATCTCCCCCCCGTCTTTCCCCCAGCTCTTCGTACGCACCCCTCTGTAACTCTCCCGTCATCTCCCCATAACCCATTGCCCCTATCTTCCCACCTCTCTCTCCTTGTTTTTCCTCCTCTCCCACTTTCTCTTAGTTGTATCCCATGTGACTCCCACCTGTCTCCCGACTTTCACCCTCTTACTCCCTCCCTCTCCCGTTTGTCCTTCCCTCCCTTTTTTCCTCCTTTTTCTCTTCATCTTTTTCTCGTCTTGGTCTCTCCATCCCTTCTCTCCGTCCTCCGTCTCTCGCTCCTCTCTCCCTTGTCTTCCTTGTCTGAACTCCTTTTGTTTCGTTCCCTCGTACGCCATTGTCATCTATCCTTCTATTTCGCCTTCCCCTCTCCTGCGCTCTCCCTCTTTCCCGTTGTTCCCTTTTTCCTCCCTCGCAACTGTATCCTTATTTTCTTCCCGATCGCTCTGCCATATCTTTCTTTTTTTCCTTCCTGTTCTCTCCTCTCCCTTCTCCCTCCCTCATTTTCTTTGCGTGGGTTTCGGCACTCGCCAATGCTTTACTCCTTACCTTTTCCCCGACTCTCCTCCGTCTCTTCTTCGTTGCTTTACCTGCTTTGTTTTCTGTTGCGGCGATCAGCTTCCATCCCCATGCAGTTTTTCATCTTCCCCTCTGATCTTTTTGACGCTCATTTCCTTTGTGCGCAAACTCCCCAGGGTTGCTGGACGAGGCTCCTATTCTTGTCCGCCTGCTTCCTTGCCCTGTCGCTTCGTGTCCCGTCTTCCATTCTTCTTGCACCCCGCTGCGGACTTCCTTTTCTCTCTTCCGACGTAATCTTTATCTTGTTCCTATTCTTTCTTTTCCGCTCTCCCTTCCTTAGCTGTCGCATGCCCTTTCTCACGACTGCGTTAGTCACAGGCCGCGATGAGATTGTGTTTCGACATTCCCACAAAATCAATCCCCCTCCCTTCTGGAATGCGGAATCTTGTGAAAGCGTGAGCTTCTTTCCGATCGAGTAATTGATGGTTACGATAGCCTCGCAGAGTAATTGATGGTCACGATAGCCTCGCAGAGTAATTAATGGTCACGATAGTCTCGCAGAGTAATTGATGGTCACGATAGCCTCGCAGAGTAATTAATGGTCACGATACCCTCGCAGTCTGATTACGATCTCGTTCTAGAGTCGTTTGGAATGCACACTTCAGTCATGTTCAGATGAAGTAATTAATGGTCACGATAGCCTAGCCGCGTGATGATGGTCTCGTTCTAGAGTTGTGTGGGAGGCACACTTCAATCATGTTGCGGAGCCGATGGTGGCGTTGAAGTGGCATACACTGGTGTGCGAAATGAACTCGGAGAGCACATCTCTGCCTTGAGAGTCGGAATCGTCGACTTGCGCTTCTGCCAGCAGTATGTATCTCTTACATGTGCTCCTTGAGAAAATATAGACTGCTGCTCGAACTGCATGCATTTTCCTTGTTTAGGGCAAGGCGATGTTCTCGTATAGATAATTAGTTTGTATATGGAAATTTGGTTTTGGCGAGAATGAAAACGGCACACTTCAATCATGTTGCGGAGCCATCGCTGGTGTTGAAGTGGCATACACTGGTGTGCGAAATGGACTCAGAGAGCAAATCTTTGCCTGGGGAGTGCTGGAAGCGCGAAATTGCGTTTCGGCCTGCAGGGACACTCTTACATGTCGTAGATAATTAGTGCCTGGAATCATAACAGGAGAATGAAAACGGCACACTTCAATCATGTTGCGGAGCCATTGCTGGTGTTGAAGTGGCATACACTGGTGTGCGAAATGAACTCCGAGAGCAAATCTTTGCCTGGGAAGTGCTGGAAGCGCGAAATTGCGTTTCGGCCTGCAGGGACACTCTTACATGTCGTAGATAATTAGTGTCTGGAATCATAATAGGAGAATGAAAACGGCACACTTCAATCATGTTGCGGAGCCATTGCTGGTGTTGAAGTGGCATACACTGGTGTGCGAAATGGATTCAGAGAACGAATCTCTGCCTACGAGTGCTGGAAGCGTGTGAACTTTCGCTTCGGCCCGCTGGGACTCTCTTACATGTGCTATAGAAAATCAAATAGGATGTGCTATTCTTACAGTAAGTAGCTATCCGCTTGGGCTGCTGGGCTCTAGCTTTACGGTAAATTGATGTTTCTCGTTGACGTTGCCTGGAAAAGGAAACGGCGCACTTCAATCATGTTGCGGAGCCAAAGCTGGCGTTGAAGTGGCATACACTGGTGTGCGAAATGGACTCAGAGAACGAATCTCTGCCTACGAGTGCTGGAAGCGTGTGAACTTTCGCTTCGGCCTGCAGGGAGCCCCTCTTACATGCGCTCTCTGGAATTACCGATCTGCTTTGCATGTACTCTCTTTTTTTTGTTTTGTCAGCAGACTGCATCTTTGATCTGACTGCCACGAGGTAAATTTTGGAGTTGTTGTCAGTCGTCCGATTCCGGATGGGATCTAACGCCACGATGCGTATCTCGACAGGTGATGGGTGTTGTACCAACTGAGATAGGCCACAGGTGGTGGTGTGTGGGTCTTTCTCTTTAGGGCATATCGCTCTCCTCCCAACGAATTTGGGGCCTCGATCCACGACTCACACCACATTAACGAAAAAAAAAAATAAAAAAAATTGGGGTCGTATCTTCCCATGTTCTGACGGTAGATTCATTCTCATGCACAAAAGACAAATTATGGCGTTGTATCTTCCCGGGTTCTAGCGGAAGATTCATTCTTATTTTGCCCATTTGGCGAATAATTGATCGAGGCCCATGGTCTAATACCATCGATGTCCTTTTCGAAATGGCAATCAGTCAGCAACGAAAAGTGTAAAAAGAATTAAAAAATTAAAGTGCGGCAAACTAATGAATCTGGCGTCGACAATATGTCGAGTCTCGATACCTTTCCGTCTGCGAAACTGATCTGTGTTTTGACCCACTTACATTGGAATTTTTACATATTTTTTACGGAGTTTTTTTTTTTTTTTCACTTGTACGTAAGTTTCTTGAACGTTTCTCGATAAAAGAATGATTGGTATCTGCGGAATCTGTTCGTGATTCGGTGTGCGTTCCCTGCGTCTCATTCGACTTCGTTGCCTTCTCTTGTCTCTTCGGCGGTATGTGGGACCGGGTCAAAGACGTCGCCTCTGCGACGCAGTAGACACACTTCAATCATGTTGCGGAGCCCAAAGTGGCGCTGAGGTGGCATACACTGGTGTGCGACAGCATAATCACTGACGTTTTCCGTGTCCGATATATATCCTGATGATCTCCTCTTTAGAAGAGCAGATCGTTTTAATGGGATGTGTTTCGTGGGGGATGTCGGATATGTGGTGAGACTGGACATGGCGTCTCAGATTCCACCTGACGCCAGGGGAAGAAATGCCCCAGACGAAATCGGATTGTGACGATGTGAGATGGAATGTTATTGAAAGAGTGTAGAAAGAAGGAATTTGAGCGAGATCGCAATTTACGGGTTGTAGAGTTGGTTGCTATCCGCGTCGGGTGTGCTGCTCTCCTTTTCTTTTGTACTGATGGACTTAGGGTTTTCGGTTTGCAGGCTGTCTAGATTTGTGTTTGTCCTGGCTTTTCGTGGGTGTGGGCTTGTTCACAGGCAGGCAGAGATTAAGCCCCCTTAAGCCCCCTGCAGATCAGAGCCCCCTTAAGCCCTCTCGCTTAATCTCTGATCTGTTTCGATTAGAGTTGAGCGAAGGAACTGAGCGAATGGATTTTTTTGTTCCTGGTTTTGGAATCGTTTCGTATCCGCGTTTGGTGTGCTGCTGATGGATTCAGTGTTTTTCGGATCGCAGGCTGGTCATTTTTTGTTTGTTGTGGATTTTCGTTGTCGTTGCGCATGCTTGGAATATGTACAACCTTCCCTTGAGACCTCTTGCTGAAAATTTGGTCTGTTTTGTTTCTTCTGCTGTATAAGTCGTTTTGGGGTCGTCTAACGCAATTGGATCGAATTTCGCCTTTTTTGTTTGGGGTTGTTGCTTGACACAATTCGATTAAGGATTGATGGAGGTGGTGGGTGGGTGCTCTCCTTCCGGCAATTGGCTCTGCTTCTACTCTTGTCTGAGGGAAAGAATACGAATTTAGGGTGTCAAATGATATCCCCCTTTAACGCTTTTAGGGGTCGTATCCAAGGTGCGGTTTCGCTGCTGATAAATGAGGGATAATTTTACTTTTTTCTCTGCGACTGTGATTCTGATCTTTTGGTGTGTGAATGGAAACTGTTGTGTTTGCAGGTACTTGAAGTATTTGACGAAGAAATATCTGAAGAAGCACAATGTGCGGGACTGGCTTAGGGTTATTGCCTCGAACAAGGACAGGAATGTCTACGAGTTGAAGTACTTCAACATTCAGGACAACGAGGCAGAGGAGGAGGAATGAGATGGGTTCTGCGGCTGCATCTGGCTTCGTTTCTGTGTGCTGTTCCTGTGTTCTTTTTCCCGTTCCTTCATGTGTGGTTGGCCCTCTCCTCCCATTGCGTCACTCAATCGGTCGTTCGGTCGTCAATCAATCGGTCGTTCGGTAGATCGATCGGTCGGTCGCTCGGTCTCTCGGTCGGTCGGGGTGAGTGCCGTTGAAACTGATCGTTTCTTCCTGAGGAAATTCGCTGCGACCGATGCAGTGAGTGCCCTTCTATCACGCCTCGTTATCGTGGGACCTTGGCAATGGTCCTATTGTCCACGTACCAGGTGCTCTCTCTCTCTCTCTTTGTCGCGTGGGCCTCTCTGACGTGTGACCCTCGGTGGCGGCATGGTCTGCAGTTGTGTTATGGTACTTGGTAGTTTCGCAATTGGGGGGCCCATATCGAGGAAAGGATTTTCTGTCTTTGACGTAAAGAGAACATTGTGAAGGAATTTAAGTTTTGTTCGCGATATTTGGTGCTTCTTTCTTGCACTCTTGTACTCTCTGTTGGAGATTTAACTGTCTTCTTGGGAATGGATGGATATTCTTTTTCGTTTTTTCAATCTTACATCATATCAATCAATAGTTGGGAATTAATTTTCGCAATATTCGGTGCTTCTACTAGTACTCTCTTTTGGAGATTTAACTCTGTGTTTTTGGAAATGGATGGATATTTTTTTTCGCTTTTTCGATGTTACATCAAATCAATAGTGTGCTAAGCTACCAGCCACGCCGCCCGGGTCATCCTGTTTTCCCGGGTGGCCCGGCCGTGCAAGGACCAGGGAAGTGCCCAGCAAAAAAAAGGAAAGAAGTACAGCAAAACAAAATAAAAGATCCAAAAAATGGCCAAAAAAACTATGTTATGCAGGAACATAAACTGAACAACTTTTCCCTCAGGGTCACATCGAAAGGTACGATCGTTCCCCGTACGGAACGCACACCGTCATTGTCGCTGTATGTAGACAGAAAGTTGGCCCGAATGCAGTGATGATGACCGTTCGAGAATAGGTTTAGGATATTGTTACGATTCGAGTGCGAGTACTACCCACCCGGGGCCCAGGAAAATTTCCTAAAATGCCACCTCTTGCAAATCTGGCACCCCTTGCAAATATGGCAAATTGTGGGCTTGCTTTTGGGCTGTTGGCAGACTGCAATGAAGTCCATGAGATCACGTTCTGACTTTCACAGGTCGGATTTTTGTTGTCGTCTTGGAAAAAGCTCGAGGATCTGAAAAAAAGAAGTTACCTGTTAAAGTCACAGGGTAGAGAAAGTGAACACGAAAACTTAACCTTCGAGAGAAAGCGAACTCGAGTGCAGTGTTTTTTTTGTTGTTTTCACTGTCATAGGCTACATCGAGAGGCGCGTGCCTGCCATCTGAAATTGGCTTTTGCGTGATAGGATGCTACTTCCGATTACCCTGCTTTTTTAAGGTCGTACTGCTATGGAAAAGAACCAGCAAGGGCACACAGCTTCTGTTTGCTTGCCCTCACGTTTCTTGTTTTTTTTTGGTCTTGCTATTCTCATAGTACTAACGCTACCGTCGTCACTCGAATAGAACGCCCGGTAATTATTGCCGTAACTGGATTGGAAGTTGCACCAAATACCCACAGCTATAATGACCGCGCGTTCTATTCGGGTGAAGTCAGTAGTTGCGATTTCAATGTCGGTTAATGCGTGGTAGCCCACTCGAGCAGAGATCATTGAGAGCGGACAAAAGCGCACATGGTAAAACCGACATTGATCTCTGCTCGAGTGAGCTACGTCAGTGCTTAATAACGAGACCTCAGTTCGAATCCCTGACATAGACTGAAAACCCCTGTACGGATATCCCTGACAAATATCGTACCGGTTATCCATCGCTGCTGCGTCAGTGCTTAATAACTTATGGAGAAGATCGCAGCTGTGTGCATGGGTGATGTACACGATTATTTGGTTTATAAAGATCCACATGGAAAGGAAAGGTCTGGAAAAAAGATATGTTCTGAAGCATTTCAATACTACAATCTTTTTTTTCTTTTTTTTTTTAATTTGGACCGTTTCTCGATTTACTCTATTTATGCGTGTCATCCTTGCCTAGGGGACCAGCAGCAGTGGCACTAGAACATCTGACGCACACGCACACACACTGCAACGAACACAGCCAGTAAGACGCACCAACACCCGCACCTCATCATCGCATCATGACACTCACACATCATCAATATCATCGTCACAGCCATCATGAAACACACACACACTTCTCCTGATGGTAACCAGCGTTCTTCCCTTCCGTCGGTACCATGCCAACAGCCAATCAACGACGGTTAGGATAAATCTGTCACACAGTCCTTGCTTATCCGGTGGAGGGACTTGTGTCACAGCGACCATGACAAGACATACACACAGAAAAAAAAAAAAGAACAAAAATCGGTTTTATGTCCTTTCCCCGGCTTCGTTTTTATGTACTCTCTGTGGCACCAAGTGAGAACCTTCAAGGTGTGCTAAACAGTCGGCGGATTGGTATCTGTAGTGCCGGTAACACTGATTAGGGGGCCTGCTCGATTCGCGACGTTTGTGTGAACCCCTCCCTCAGCGGCTGGTGTGAACCAACAAGTCTGCGGGGGGTTATTCTCGTATTCGTATTGTGAGTAGGTGATGTGCTGCTTTGCTCCGTGATGTAGGATAGGGGTCAGTGCAGAACGGGTGTCAGTGCAGAACGCCTGCCCTCAGAACCACACGTGACGGTTCCCCGTCATGCAGCTCGCCCCCCAGAACCTTAGCCTTGTTTGCGGGCTGGGGAAGGGAAGCTGACAAACAGCTTCGCCTCGCGCCTTCCGACTCTTTAATTGTCCGGAATCAATCTCACGTGTAGCTCGAGTATTGATTTCCTGACGTTGCACTGTGCTCAGAAGCTCTAGTTCCAAGTTTGAATATTGCTGCGTACATTTTGGCCAGAGAGTGACGTAAAATAGCGGAAAAATACCGCATGATGCGGCGTCTGTTTTGTGCGTGTTGTTCGATATGTGGTCTGCCATTTGTGTATGCTCTGCGTCCGCCTTCCTGCCATCCCGCCTGCGCCCCATGTCATTAAGTCCTTGCAGCTGATGTGTTTGTGTCATTCATCCCGCTTTGCTCCGTGTTGGATGTGTTTGCCTGAGTCGTTGGCGTCGTTGTACTCCTTGTCGTCCTATGCAGCCACCGTTCAATCGCCCCGGCAGCGATGCTTGGTGCTTCGCCGAGTCGTTGCTTCCTGCCATGATTCGCTTGTTGGGTTGCCTGCGAACGTCTTCACTCGAATAGAACGCCCGGTCATTATATTTGTATTTCGTGCAACTTTCAGTCTAGATACAGTGACAAGGACCGGGCGTTCTATTTACGTGTGTAGACGGTAGCAGACTGTTTTCAGTAAAGGGTCAGACAGAGTGTTCATGGTCCGAAAGCCATCATCATAGGGAATCCACGGAATGCCGAGGGTTCTTTTTTGGGGTTCAGCCTTCGGACGAGTTGTTCTGGAACTCCCCCGAAACACATCTTTCATGAATCATGATCACTTTTTTTTCTTTTTTCTTTTTGCACTTGTACTTTTCCTGTTTGCTGGTTGCTGTCTTTTGCTGGCCTTGTGTGCTTGTGTGTTGTTTGCTATCGCACCTCCATGGAGGCGTGCTCTACATAGCGTGCTTCCAGTCTATGACTTGCCTCGCAGCTTTTCCTGTGTGTTCTTTTCTGCGTGGCTGTATTCCTTTGACCGACTGCTGTCAGTGCTGTGTGTGTGTTGACGAGCCTTGGTCGAAATAAAAGGTCAGGTAGAGGTCGAAATAAAAGGTCAGCTAGAGTCCGACAGTTATCATGGGCCGGGTGTGTTTTTCTTGTCCTGCTGTTTGGTGACATGACTCGTCGAGCCTTGTTCGAAAACCAGAGATGGCAAAAGGAGGTGGACTGCGGTTACCATCATCATGATCACCATCATCATCATCGGAATTACTATCTTACACTTTTCTAAGCATCACCATCATCATCATATGAGGGACGCTGGGCCCGGTTCTCAGCATGATTCGGTTCGGTTACTCCGGGTAGACTGTGAGGACCCCGGCCTCGATCTTCATTTCATTTTGAGTGAAAAAAAAAAAAGAGGTGGACTGTGGTTACAGAATGTTGGGTTCATGGCAGCATGGGCTGTATACATTCGGAGCCCCCTAACCCATCGCATTGCGACCCTCGTCAGGTCTCGCCTAGCATGAACACGCTATGTATGCAATAAACTAGCGTACTCGTGGTAGTTTTTTTATTTATTTAAAATTTATTATTGTAATCATAGCATTCTCATGCTGCCCATGCTGCCATGCAGTACAGTATGGGTCACGCTACACTCTTTACTGTCCACTCTCCACGAAATCGGAGAGTGCAGGCAGAGCTGCCGGACTCTCCGAATTTGCCTTTTCGTCTTCACCGCTAGAGATTTACTCTCCACGCTCCTACTCTGCAATTCCCGAGTGCACTACTACGGTCTTCCCCTGAACAAAAAACACGTATGTACTAAACTTTCCCTGGACAAGTCTATTTCCTGAAGTCGGCCGGAGAAATCCGAATAGTACGCACAGTCAACTAGTAGGCAGGTACGCTCTACTTGAATAGTATGTACGTATATTCTATTTGAACAGATGGGTGTTCTAGTCTCTCTCTCTCTCTCTCTCTCTCTCTCTCTCTGTCTCTCTCTCACTCACACACACACACACAGTGCCGCGGGCGCTTCCCTCTCGCACACACACACACTGGTGCTTGCTCCGTCCGCGGGTGATTGGAATGGAGCTCAAAGACTGCATCACTGTTTGAATGGAACAAACAAGCAAGTTTTGGGGCAGACTGTTCGAGTGGTACGTACAGTCGGGACGTCGGTCCACTGCTCTCCACATATGCACAATAGACGAAAAACGTGGCGATGGATACATCCAGTTTCTGCTGTGAGATTCACATTTGGTGAGCAGCGAGTGCTTTTTCTTTCTTTTATTTTGCACATTTGGAGCATTCCTGGATTCAGGCAAAGGCATAGGCATATACTTGTGGGGTGGGGTGGGGGGGTTGGGGGCCGCTTTCCCTAAGGTGGTCCCAGAAATTCGTAGCGTAACACATGCTTTGTATATGAATACTACTCACGTGCCTTTTGTTCGCGGGAAGACTGTAGCAGACGCTGTGGCAGCAGCAGAAGTCGCAACGTGATGACCATTTTGCCTGCCTAGACCCGAATGGAACACACTCTCTGCGAATTCATTGTCCGACCGTGAATATTCCTCTCCTCAAAGGTCTCTCTCTCCGGGTAAGAAGTATTTTGCAGGCTGGGCACCTTCCAACCGTGGAGAGTGCTAGGAAAGCCAACATAGGGTCTCAGTGGTCTCACTACACTTCTATATGGGCTTCGAAATCGCGGTGTAATATGTATATAATATATACTGCACATTGCGCACACATCGTCAGCATGATTATCATAATCTACAGCAAACATGACAGCACACACGTGTACACACACAAGTGCAAAGATGCACACTTTCTTTCAGGGACGTGGTGTCCTTATCCTTATCTTTCAGTCAAATGCATCGTGAGAAGACTGTACACTTACTTTGGGCAACGTGGTGTCCTCATCCTTCAGTCAAATGATGCATCGTGTTGTCCTCATCCTTCAGTCATCTGACGTGTTGTATTAAGCTGCCTGCATTTGATCTGACGTGTTGCACTAACCTGCCTGCCTGCATTTGATTGGACTGTTGGGGTCGAACATCATGAGGTGTCGGTGAGAGGGGGCCATAGTGTATACTGAATATAACAACAACGCACACACAGCTACGTATGGGGACTTTTGGATTTGTTTTTCGGAAAATTGAGGCCTCCTGGTTCTCTGGTGGATGGGTGAAGGTCCCACATGTTGCCTCCTTTGAGGCTTGAGCGCGGATGTGGCTGCTACGATGCTACGATCTAGATGACTGGACCGCTCAGTGCAGACGGTCTGGGTCTCGATGTTTGGGTCTGGTGTGCCGTCCAGAGTGTCTGCATCCCTGCCCCCACCCCCCATTAAAACCCGACTTAAAAAATAACAAAAGAAAAAAAGATGTGATGCGCAGCATTGCAATACAAAAATCTTTTGGCTGAGGAGCATGTCGAAATTCGTAGCCAAATCCAAGGGGGGGGAAATGAAAATGTTTTGTTTTTTTTGTACTTTTTTTTTTTTTTTTTTCAATTCATGGATATAAAAAAAAGTACCACTTCAGAAAAAGTCTCTTGGTCGGGAGCAGTCCAGACACAGATGTCCGGGTCCGACGTAACCATGGTATAATGACAAAGGAAATTGCACTGTCCAGATTCGACAGGTAATTGAACTGGTTGGGCATCCAGATTTGACAGGTAATTGAACTGGTTGGGCATCCAGATTCGATAGGTAATTGAACTGGTTGGGCATCCAGATTCGACAGGTAATTGAACTGGTTGGGCATCCAGATTCGACAGGTAATTGAACTGATTGGGCTTAATTATTAGTCTTTAAAAACAAAGGAAAATTTTTATGTCGGGCTTGGGGGTATAATAAAGGGACGCCGCCTCTACATCCCAGGGCCCCGAGGCACCTACTCCGGGCCCAGCCTCATTCAGCCGGGCAGACACTTTTTCCCCGGCATCCCGAACAGCTGATCGAGTCCCGGACGTCCACGTACTTAGCTGCAATCAGGTACAATCAACTGCAGGCAGGTTAGTGCAACACGTCAGATGCACAGACATCACCGAAAAACAAGACAATAATTGATTTGATAAATTCATATTTAAATTAATTTTATTAATTATTGGGAAATTTAGTAGTTTGTCAAATTCATGGTGAAGTTGGTGCAGAATCAAACTGAAGGTAGCCCTCTAAAAACTTGAGACGCCAGCCAAAAAAAGAAACAAAAAAACTTCAGATGCTGTCAAATTTTCTTCAAAGATATTGAACAACAATAGCTCTGATCAAATTTATTGATCGTGATTCTTTGTAATCTGATTTCACGGTGAAGTACTACTATTCATCCTTGATCTATGTTCTGCCTCTCCTCTACAGCTGAGTGCTGAATGCTCCACCTCTTCTCGGTGCATGAACACCGAAGTTTCCACATTTCAATTGGCAATGTCTGCCTGCCTGCCCGCCTGCCTGCCTGCCTGGATCGATGTCGCTCTTCACCGTAAATGGCAGATAACAGAACCCCTAGACTCGAGAGACTATCTCATGCATGCCTTCCCAAACTCACCATGTCTCCTCAGCACCTCTGCCTGAATGAACGGAGGACCCCCCCACTCTCCTCAGCAACCGCCGGAGAAAACTATGGCCCCCCTTGTGCTCCCTTGATCACGGTCCCCCCAACTGTCCCGCACATAATAGTTGGCCGAACTCGATGGGGAGAGAGAGAAGGGGTGGGACCGTGATCGGAGCCACCCTTTCAAACTCCTCTCACCACGTGTGTGGTTGAAATGCTCCCTCCCTCCCTCCCTCCCTCCCTCCCTCTGAATCGTGCTTATCCTGCGTTCCGTTCATGTTCACCTGAAATGTCCTAAAGAATTGCGGATGCTGATTTCAGTATCCATCCTCAACTCTTTATGGATGTTGATGTCAACAGTTGCACCGGGTTGCCCCCTGGGCACGGGGAAGAAGGGACGGGAGTTTTTTCACAAATAGAGAAGCCGCAAACTTTGTGAAGTCTACGTTCTTCTGCCAGCACTGAAGCTGCATGCAGAGAGAGCCTGTGTGCCGTTTGCCAACCAGGAAACAAACCCCGATCATCGTGCCAATGGGACACCACTTGGTCGGACTGCGTTGCTTCAGCCAGTGCTTGCCGTAAATCCCTGATGTTCTTTTCTTTGATGCTCCTCCTGCCCCTGCATGCCCATTCTCTTCTCCTCCCCCCTCCCCCCCTTTCTATGGACACTGGGGTCACTAAAAACATGCTTAGACTTCTCACTTCGACCTTTCAGTTCAGGAGGCCTTGTGGAGCATGATTATTTCCCTTTGGCCGAGTTCTCGACATGAAGGGGAGGAGGTTAGAATGACAGAAGCAGCCTTTTTATTACTCAGCAGCCCACGGCGGCAAAGCAGTTGTGCCGAGCAGGCCAGGGTGTGGCAGCGCGGCCGTTTGAATGGTTGAAGCAAGAAATCTTCGGGCGGGCGGGCGCGGGGGGGGGGGAAAATCATGCGAACATGACACCACATGGTCGGTCCGACTTCCGCCGGAGGTTGGCGTAATTTCCTTAGGTTCTCTGCCTTGATGCTCCTCCTGCCCCTTCATGCCAAAACTCTTCTCCCCCCCCCCCCCCCCCCCCCCCCCCAAAAATTTTTTCTTCAACCATTCAAACGGCCGCGCTGCCACACCCTGGCCTGCTCGGCACAACTGCTTTGCCGCCGTGGGCTGCTGAGTAATAAAAAGGCTGCTTCTGTCATTCTAACCTCCTCCCCTTCATGTCGAGAACTCGGCCAAAGGGAAATAATCATGCTCCACAAAGACTGAATAGAAATCAAAAGATAAATAAATACACTCCACAAAATGAAAACGGGTTCAACCGAACCTCTACCCGATTTTAAGTCCACGATGTGAGGCACGGAGCACATTCGCAGTCAGACTTTTTATTTTCAGCTCTGGATGTGATTGTGGTCAGATTTGTCCATGATGTTAGGCTCGGAGCACATTCGCAGTCAGACTTTTTATTTTCAGCTCTGGATGTGATTGTGGTCAGATTCGTCCATGTCCGGCCATAATCTCAGTCAGATATATTTAGGAAAGTGCTTGTAACTTGTGAGTATACACTCAAATGAGTTTCGCCGGGTCCATTTGCCGGGGGGGAGCATGCCAACCTTCTCTCTATCATCCCAACTTTTAAGGGCCCAACTTATAAGGGAAGTCTTCTCTGTCATCCCAACTTTTAAGGGAAGTCTTCTCCCCAATGGGACCCTGGGTCCGTTGGCACTTTGTGGACTTTCGAAGTCTTGTCCCGAATGGGGCCAGCGACTATGAAATGGGTTTTCTTCAGTCAGTCAAACTCACAGTTTGAACCAACGGTCGAACGGACCTAGGACAGTTAAAAGTTAAAAACTCTGTTGGTACACCCATGAGCTGTTGAAATACAGCCCCGGCTTCGGTTCCAGATCGTCTGGATGAATGAAATTGAACGCTTCTGTGAGTTACTCAGGACCGTTCAGTTCGATGAGCGATGAGAATATCCAAAAGCCGTGGCCTTTCTAAGAAAGAAAAGAAAGAGAACGAAAAGAAGGCAAGGGAAAAATGAAAAAGAAAAGAAAAAAGAGCTCAGTCTGAATTTTGTAGTATTGTTGGTGATGTACACATTGGCTACAAAATGTCTGACGGCATACGGACACTACGACTTTTTAGACTTCTCTGTGGACGTAATTGTGGTCAGGTGCATCCAGGCAAGGTTTTCAACTTCTCTGTGGATGTACTTACGGCCAGGTCCATCCAGGCGAGGTTGGCAAAACAGTCGTACACATCCAGGAGAGTCCTAGTGTGAGGATGCCCTGAGCGAAAATCTGTGATGGGATGTTGTGCTTATTATGAAAACAGTTCAAAACACAGAGAGAACCTCCCCTCAGCCTGGAACGAAAGGGTGCGAACATCGAAACATGCAGCAGTCATTGACGGGGCAAAGGCAGGCACTGCCAAAGGGAGTGACAGTGTGTGTACTCGCAGGGTGGAACGGACAAAGCTTCGACGGAATGTGGTCGCAATGGTGGTCAGATACACTGCTGTGAAAGAGAAAAGGTCAACAAGAAAAGCAGGCACTACCTGCCTGAGTCCCCCTGTACTTGCACTGTGGAATGGACAAGCTTGATGGAATGTGGTCGCAATGGAGGTCAGATACACTGCTCTGAAAAAGTTAAAAGTCAACAAGAAAGGCAGGCACTGGTCGCAATGGAGGTCAGATACACTGCTATGAAAATTGACAGAATATGGTCGCAATGGAGATCAGATACACTGCTCTGAAAAAGTTGAAGTCAACAAGGCACTGGTCGCAATGGAGATCAGATACACTGCTCTGAAAAAGTTAACATCGACAAGAAAGAAAGGCACGGCCTAAGTGAGCGACAGAGTACTTGCACAGTGGAACGGACTAGCTTGACGAATTGTGGTCCAAATGGAGATCAGATACGTTGCTATGAAAACAAAACAAAACAAAACAAAGATGCAAGAGCTTGTGTGCTGCGAAAGCAAATGAAATAATGTCTGTATGAAAAGAATACAGCGACTCCCTCGTACTTGAGTGCGAAGGAAAGGGAAAGAAAACGCAAAAAAAAAAAGAAACACTTGCACACCAACGTACCGTCCACCTCTCGGCAAAACACATGGAACACAAACACTAACAAAATTTTGTAAAACTGGCACACGGCAATTTGCCTGTGCAAGAATTGCACTGACACCGACAATAAAGAATGACCAAGGAGCACGACGGACAAGAAATTCCCGACCGGGGCCTAATAACCGAAACGTCAGGCGAACGTCACGTAAACGTCACGTGAACACGTTCACGTAAACATCACGTGAACACGTTCACGTAAACATCACGTAGACATCACCGGAAAATGTCACGTGAATGGCACGTGAACATGTTCACATAAACATCTCAAAAATGTTAGGTAAATGTGACGTAAACATCATGAAAAAGGTCACGTAAACCACAAATATAGATGCTCTCGGTGTCACTACATCTGCGCGCCACAAGCAGATGATTTCAGGAAAGCTTTGCTATAGGCATATGTATAGGCATTCAAGACTATGATGCCTATAGCACTATCGCTGCTGCAAACTTCATGCATTTTTCATGTCCTGCCAGGAATGCCACTAACAACTGACCTGAAATGTCCTGCTGAGCAAAGGCGAAATTTCACTCACGAGTTCTTGGCGTCCTCAAACCACCACTCCATGACCGCAGGCAGCTTGAGGACAACGACAGGCTCTCCCCGAAAGATCTGCAAGCTCCAGGCAACCAGACAGTCCACGGCTGGCGGCGCCGGCGCCGGCCAAAAGAAAAGGAAAACGACCACGCTGGCGTTTCGACAAAGCTTGGTGCGCAGGGGAAATCCGCGTCTTACAAAAAACAAGCTCGGACAGACTGGCGGTTTTAACGGTTCAGTCGAATCTGTCCACCATAGTAGCGCATGCAGAGCATGTGGCCGTGTGCTACGTAGTAGCGCATGCAGAGCATGCGGCCTTGGGCTACGCATCACACATGTAAACTGTTAGTAAGCAGAGCACGAGTTCGAATCATGATGGAATCAGATGAATGGAATAGTTTTAGGGGTTATGGTTACCCCTAAAAAAAAGAAAAAAGAAAAAAAAAAGTTGATCAATCACAGCCGTCGGATCAGCCGCCGCCTCCAACTTTACGGATACGATCAGCCGCCGCCTCCAACTTTACGGATACCGGCTCGAACTGGCCGCCCAGTCTGGCAACAACTGACAACCGGTCAGAAGCAAGTTTTTTTTTCTTTTTCTTTTTTTCTTTTTTAAGCTAGAAGCACTTTCTTCTTCTGCTGCTGCTTTTTTTTTTTCTAGGGCTAGAACTGCGAGTGCCGAGCGTCACCACGAGTGTTGTTAATTGCCACACAGGTGTTGCTTTGGACTGGCCGAATCCTGAAGCCAGTGAGTGCAGCTCTCTAAAGGGGCAGCCAGATAGAAGAGCCTCAGACGGCACACTTCACACAGACGAGAGAAAGAGAGCAGTGGTGAGACCAACAGCGCTCTCCATCGAGGGAATAAGGAATACACCCTTACCCCAGTTATGGTGCACAAGATCACAGGCTCAAAACTTCAACTGCAGAACTGCAAACCCCCTCCTTGGCCGCGGCTCAATAACTATCGACGAAAACAACCTTTGTTGAGGAAACACAGGGTGGGAAGGGCTTGTCAGACATCGCCGAGTGGTCCCCCCCGCTGGTCCCAAAGTCAAGGCGGCCCGAAGGCGCAAGAGCGTTCTTTTGTTTGATTGAGAGAATTCTCGCGTAAAGTCTCTGAGGATCCCAAATCGAGAGCCCGTATGCGGTCCCTTCTCCGCCCGGCTGCATTCGTCGATACGTCCCCAGGATACCCGGTATCGATGACAGCAGTTCCCATCCCATCTTCGTTCATCTGTTGACATCAACCTATACCGATGACAGCACTTCCGATCCAATCTTCGTTCATCTGTTGACATCAACTCTTACATCCTGTACCGATGACAGCAGTTCCGATCCAATCTTTGTTCATCTGTTGACATCAACTCTTACATCCTGTACCGATGACAGCACTTCCCATCCAATCTT